CAGCTCTCTTCTGAATATGTTTTTGATTCACAAATCAATTGTAATATGACTGGTCAAATGCAGTTATTCAGTTAATTTTTTTTTGTTTTTTAAATACTTCTGGAGGGATTTCAATTAAGTGACATGAGTCAGGTTTTGCTGGAGATGCTACTAAAAGGTATCTCAGCGATGGCACTTCTTCAGCATCCAGCATGATCGTTAACAGCCAGTTCACAAGCCTGCTGCTGTCTGACTGATTGCCATCAGGAGCAGCTATGCTGGCCAACGCACACCTTTCCAAAGCCTATCCATTTCTGAAATACTCCATGCTGATTTATTTCTTCTCATTCCTTTATTTTATGAAGGTGGGGTTCCCTGCCAGGCTGTGCTCAGGTAAAGGGACACTGCCTCATCCGGTGTGACCTTTAACCCCCTGATTAACTGCAGCTTGTATTTTGGATCAGGGCCTCCTGGGTCAAGGGGAAAAAGAGGTCGAATTGGGGATCCAGGTAAGCCCCTCCAGCCTGGTTCTCACACAGCTGTGGGCAGGTCTTGTTCTCTGTTGTCCTTTATAAGTGTACAGTACCTCGTCCGTGTTTCTGCACTGATTCTCATGTGTTTTTTGTGACAGCGGTCATAGCTGTATCCTGCTATTCACAGGATACCTTTAAGTGTGTTCCTTTTACATTTATATTTATTTGACAGATGCCTTTGCTCAAAGTGAGGCAGGCAGTACATCACAAGCATGTAGCTGTTGGGGAGCCAGATTGGTTATATACCTGTGCTGCCAGGCTTGCAGCCACGGACATTCTGTGGAGCCCCGAGGGTAAAACCCTTAGGCTACATAAACATGGCAAGTGGCAAACCGCTCGGTACAGGTGAAAAATTCGCTAAACGCATTCACACCATCAATGCTGAACTGCTTGGCGTTTGCCAAAGGCGCTGGATGGGTGAATACTAAGGCCCAATACCATTTCTCCTCCCTTAGCCCTACCACTAGATTTCAGGGGCCTCCCTTCCGAAGTTGACTTCACAGTTCGTAGCCACAAGGGGTAGGGCTTGAAATGTTTAGCTAGGAATCGGGACACCACTCGCTTACGTCATCAGCAGTCGATCATTGCACATACGTTTCACACTTTGCATTTGTGTGTAACAATGCCGGCTCAAGGTATGGCGTTGTCGACTGCGTGCATTTTAATCATCATACTCTGTTTGATGAATACTCGCAGAAGACGTCTGCGACGTCTGCTAACACTTGTGGATTTTTATGAGATATCGTTTAAAAACGACTCGTGTTTGTGTCAGCTAGAGTGCCTGGCTAAAGTTTTACCTGTGTCACAATGTTCATAATATAATACCTAATTTTCATTGCTTAATGTATTTGGCATACTATTTCCTTTTATAAATGTGACTTTCTGTGCATGTACACAGCGATTAACATACAAATTAGAATAAACATATTATTTTATGTACCGTTTAGCAAATGCTATCCAAACGCCGCATGCTTAAATATAGTGCATCGCGGTACAATACAATTTTTTTAAATTACATGTGCGATATGTGTGAGGATTATTTGTTTTATTGCCCTGTATGCATGAACACATGGAACACTTTAAAGGTAAAATCATTTGCTCTGACACCATTTAGGTAGCTTCAATGAAAGAGGACTTTCAAGTTAAGTAATGTGTATCAACAATCGGGGGTGAGTTTCCCAAAAGTGTCGTAGCCAAAAAAACTTTGATTATTATTATATGATAAAATACATTTTAAAATAAAGATTTCTTATTCATTATTTTAATATTAATAATAAATCATTAATACATTTAATTATAATAATATTGTCATGCCAACTGGGGACGGAACGAAGACAAAGGCGCAAACGTCAGGGAATCGGGGAATACGGGGTTTAATTACAGGTAAGGCAGGCAAAACGCAGACGGACAATACAATGACTGAACTGGGGAAACAAACTGAAACGCGGACTAAATACAGAGGGCTAATGAAAACAACCAGAAACAGCTGATCACAGGGGGATTCCACATGGAGTTAATGAGGGGGCGTGGCACATGGAAGGAGCGGTCGATCGGGGCAGGACACATAAATTTTTTTTTTAACTTTAACATTGTTTGGATACATTTATTTTCTTACTTTACAAATTGCTGTTTTGATAAATGTGCTTAGATGTGTTTAGTACAGTATATGCTCTTCTTGTTTTATCTGGTTCATTTTGTGTTTGAATGCTAAAAAAAAAAAAACATATTTAGGTGTAATTTTTTGGGGCTGAGAAGCAATTAATTGGTTTTCCATTACTTCTTATGGAGAAAATTCGATCAGATCTCGAACTTTTTAGGATTCGATCCGCAGTTCTGAACTTATTAAGTTTGAGTTCTGAGGTACCACTGTATTAATAATTTTATTATTATTATTTTTACATCTGTGATATAATAGGTAAATTGGAAAAAGCCCAATACTAACAAGCTGAAAGGAGCCATATCGCCATAGCCATTGATCGATTCCTTTCCTGTGCATGTATACTGAGACAAGGACAGCAGTCCAATTGAATGGCCTAGTCGAGCTTTAGCCATACTGTAGCTCGACTTAGCTGTTCATGTAAACGTACTGACTGACAGCTTGTCTCCCGATCACGGGAAATGTACCACTTAGTGTCTAGTGTCTAAGTGGTAAGGTGACCCCGCTTATGCCAGGAGCGTCTGGGGGATGTTCAGAGCCCCAACATAGCACCTGTCCCACGCCTCTGCCCCCTGGCTTCTGAAATCGGGCTGTTTGCACTTTATGACTCATGGGTCAGAAAGTTGGACGTCTGCCTAAGTTGCACAGTCCCACCTCTGTATGTCTGCTGATCCGGCTCCAGAGCATTTATCCAGAAGGTGGGCCAGCTGCATCACAATAGCATCGCACTGTGAGTCTTTGATCACCTTCTTTGATCACAGCTGACATGACAGTGGACTAAACTTGTATCTGCCGTGGTAGCAGGGCAAGTATGGTCTGATCTCGTGTGATTTGGCTTCCCCTCTCATGAGGCGACCTGAGATGTTCTTCAGTGATCCATTTGTGAGTTTGGTCCAGCTGGCCCAGCCGTTGGCTGTCTTCTGCCGTTCACAACTTAGAAGGTCTCTGTGGACAGATGTGTCAGCGTTCTGCGTCATTCTGTCCTGCACACGTTTCTCAATGCTGAGCATCTGCACTGCTGTGGCTTTGAAGATGATACTCTCAGTGCAACCAGCACTCAATTACATGCTGGTGTCTAAAAGACTGTTACCATCAACTGTTTTTATAACCCTGCGAGAGCCTCTTTTGCGCTCTTTTTTGGGTATTATTTAGATACCTGCTGTGTGTGTGACTTGTCTGTTTTTTATGTGGATGACAGATGGAGAGTCAAAGTAAGCAATGCTGTGCTGTATCTGTATAGTGCTGTGCTGTGCTGTATCTGTATAGTGCCATGCTGTATGTGTATAGTGCTGTGCTGTATCTGTATAGTGCTATGCTGTGCTGTATCTGTATAGAGAAAACCAAAGCTGACTTTATGCTTGGTACATGTACCATAACCTGCCTTTCTGACAAACATGTGTGTCTGCAGGTGGCTGGTAATGGAGGGCTGCTCTGGGAGTGTGGCTTGTTATTATCTGATTGTATATGGCTTGGGGGTTATGGGGCTGTTTTTAATGGTGCGTTGGTGGCAAAATAAAAATTGAATCACAGAGAGCCAGAGGCCATCTTCAGCTGTGCTCCAGCTTCTTGCCAATGCTTTTTTTTAAGTAAACAAATACTACTAGAGGAAAAAAAGTTTGTTTTGAATCCCATTTCAGACATGGTCGTACACATTGTGAAGATCTTGAGAAAATGGCACGCATGGTTTGAGATTGCTCAGTATGAGCACTGAATATAATGCAGACCACCTACCTCGTTTGCGTGCCTCCCCTCTACCTTGAAAATGGCAAGAGTGAAGTACCATTCTGTCAGATTTGATCATGAGTGGTCTCTACGCTGCCTACTGGTGGCGTAGTGCATTTACTTTTGTCTGTGTTTTGTCTTCACATACCATTCTGTTGTACTAATACCTAAATGTATGCATTGAAATTTGTTTGCCAGAAGTGACTGGATATAGCCACAAATACACCTTTTTTTTAAAGGTTTAATTTAAAGGCCGGCTTTAGGAAATACAGCGCATGGTTCAATGGGGTTGTCTGGATATAAAGTGTTGGAAATAAATGTGATTTGTATTTTTTGGCATTCTTTATGTACAGCTGGACAGCTTCCTTTCCAAATATTAATGACTTGTATGGAATTTTACATTTGATTATTTTTTTCAGTAATGAATGCCTTAGTGATTTCTGCTCCATTTACTATACAGTAGGATTGACGAGATTTACCAGTTATTATACTAACCTCAATGTTATTTCTACTGGTCTCACCTAAAGGTGGGCAATATGACATTTTTTGTATTGTTTGTTTTGAAAAACCAACAAAATTGGAATATATGTAGTTGTGTTTTTATTTCAAGATCTAGTCACTAAGTTCGGATCCACTGACAAAGAAGTGAAATATACAGACAGCACTGAGATGTTATGCAGACTGAAATTGCTTTGTTTCACATCAGTCTGTTTTTGTTGTATAGTACTATTATCACCACCAGACACACAGACATCACGTGACTGGTGTTTGCTGGTTTACTCTGCCCTTATAATAATAGTGTTAAGTAGTGCACTTCTAACTGCAAATTCACTGGAAGCTCAGATTAGCTGTACTTATGCCTAGTCAACTCCTCGACAGTACATATGTTTGTAATGTGCTGTTTGACTCATTTGTATATCCTTTTGGACAAAAGTGTCTGCTAAATTAAGTTAAACATCAATGTGCTGTATCGCCATTCTTGCGATAACTGCTAATCGTGGGTACAATTGCAACCACAATAAATTGTCATATTGGCCACCAATAGTCTCACCCTTGTTCCATCAGCTGTGGTCCTATACTTATTGTCACTCTCTTTTTCTCTTTTTCAGGTCCTCCTGTAAGTAGACACCACATCATTGGCCACCCAGACTGTGGTAATGTGACTGCAAATTTGCTTTTTGTGTGTATTTGTACTTGTGGGATTGCATAAGCCTGGTGATGTCGCCATAGACCTCAGCTCTCTTGGTTAGCATGCTGGGGAGCTCTCAGTATAACATTCCAGGTAACATCTGTGTCCTGTCATCGTTGGGATGGGACAAAGACTTATACCTTAAGCAAGAATGCAGAATGTATACCTTAAGAATGCAATCTCTGAAATGCGGTTAGAATTTTTGATGCTTTTGAGAAATCCAGCAGAGGTTAATTGATGATTTCCAGCATCACTTCAGCCTGGACATCTGAGTGCTTTCATCTTATTCCTAGAGTTAAACACCTAGTTGCAATGTACTTTTTGGGATGCAGCATCCTCAGTGAGATGCGACATCCTCTGTGTTTCTGTTCTAAGTTGTCTAATGTTACCTGCTTCATATTCAGACAGTTTCTGGTCCAGCGGCCCAAGCTGTTCAGAGCTGCTCTACTTTTCACAATACAGACGGCCGTTCGTAACTTGAAATGTTTGTAAGTTGTTATTCAACATTTTAAGGGAGTACAAAGAACTAGGATGCTGGGAGTGCGCACGTTACGCTGCTGCGCAGTGGGAGTAGCGGCCAGAAGTCGTACTGGGCGGGATTGGCACGCAGAAAAAAAAATTGATGTTGCGGACAGGAAACGGGAGCCCAAATGAACACAATTTGGACTTACAGTCCTCTTTGTTCGTATGTCTGAAAGTTCTTAAGTTAAAAGTTTGTAAGTAGGGGAGCGTCTGTACATCCAAGAACAGTGAGCAGTGCTTCCATGAAGATACACATTCTGCCAAAGAGTCTGTCCACATGGAGGCGTATGGGGGGAGCTGAAAGCACCAGGAGACCCCATATCGGATATTCCAGCGACTATTCCCGACCCAGCCTTCCTTTCTTTCCACTCTTCGACACCCACAGTCTGCTAGGTTTCCTCTAGACGGACGTGAGGCTCCCAGGGATTCGTCGGTCATTCCCCTTCTGCTCCTTGGCCTATGCCCAAGATTCCAGGCCCCCCGTTTTTTTCCTTCTGGTCTCTCGCCTCCCCCACTTCGCGGTGAGACAGAGTGACATATGCGTATGCAAGCGAGATGCAGGCATCTCCCCAAAGCGAGATCAAGTGGGTGTCAACGAGCATCTCTCTGCAAGGCTGACGAGGCCTAGGTGCTGATAATTAACACATCAGGGTTTAAGCCATCAGGGCTTTGTGTAGAACTAAGACTCATATTTATTTCAGTAGCATATCATTAGTCACCATTTGCCACAATGCAAGTGTTTATTTTTTGGTTCTAAAAATTTATGACATGGTTCAAAACCCTGGTGACCCCATCTGACCTTTCCTGGAATAACAGGAGATGGGCTGCAGTGATTTGTATGAATTATTCCACACCCATGTTTACATAAGCATGGTAAGTTAACATGATTACACACGGAACAGCTACTGTGAAACTGGTTCCTTCCTGTTTTGCTAAGCTAGGGTGTTTTTCTTTAGGCAAAACAGTACAAAAGTCGTGCAGGGTCAGGCTTTAGCTGTCTGGCCATTCTCTTCTTGTTATATTATTAATATCAATAGGAAGAACCTTAACCTTAGACTTGCTTGAATTTACCATGAGGTTCGGCACTGCTTGGGATGATTTATTCTTTCGAAACCACCCAGGACAATCTTGTCAGATATGCTGCTGGTTAATCAGTGTTGAGCTCCAGGGTTTCAAGGGGGAAGTTGGATGTCTGAGGCTAATTGTCACCCGCCCCTCCGGCTAAGGGGGGCAGTCACGCAGAGGTGCGTGTGGTCATCCTGAGGAAACAATACCATTAATTCAGGAGCCGACGAGAGCCCATGTGTGTGTGGCCTGAACCCTGGAGTTAATTTTCATGTGAGACCCTTGAGCCCTCAAGGTGGCATAAAGGGGCCCGAGACTGAACCTTTGGCAGCAGATGGCTGCTGCACTCCTGGGTGCAGAACCCCTAATGTACAGATGTACAGATAAGCAGGACCATGCTTAGCCACAGCACACAGTCAGTCTCTGCTGACAAATGCCATGCGCTGGTCGCAGGTCAGCAGGACAAAATCTGCAGCTGCACAGCACATCTGCAGTAGTACGGTTTCATGTATATGCATTCAGCATGCAATTGCACTCTCTAAAACAAGCATGCAATAAAACACTGCACTCTCTAAAACAAGTAATTTCCACCATCAGTGTATCATCAATTTATAATTAATTAGATTAATATGAATAATATTGTGAATGGATGACACTAAAACATTTTTGTTTTTTGAAAATTGAAGTAAACCTTTAAGCTTATGTGAAAGCAGGCGTAAAAGAGTGGGGGTACCTATGGCGTAGGCCCGTTTCAGGGTCCTTATATGGTAAACAACAAAAAATCAGCCAGGAATAGCTTACACACATATATGGAAAAATCCGCCATCCTGGGGCTTTCCAGAGAAGATTGTTTCAGTCTGTGGTCCTGGAGCTCCGGCAGTGAGATAAGGCTGTTCTGCGGTCAGACAAAGGTACGTTGCCTTGGAGATGTCAAGTGTGCCACCGGCAATTAGCACCACTCTTGGGGCAGGGTGGCCACAAGGAGCCATAGACTCCACTGTGCACCATCACCCACCCTCGGCTGACGTGCACAGATTTAGAGATTAGCATCACATGCTTTTTGGGCCACACTCTAACCTGGATGGGAAGTCTGTCAATTTACTAAACTAAATGTAACAGCAGTTTCCTTCCTTTATAATTAAGGGTTTTATTGGAATATTAAATAAAACAACAGTTACATACTATAGATTGATCTTTTGAAACAGATTTTATATGCGTCGCTACAGCATTGCAGTTAGACCAGCACGACTGGGAGGAGGTTCACAGAATTACTGACACCAGGCACACCAAAGGGCAAGAATGCAGTGCTTTGACCCTTTCTATGCATCCCAGAAGGTCTGGTCAGGCTGGGACAAAGAACCTAAGATTCCAGGCCAGCAGGCTGTATGCTGCTTTTAGGCCTAAATTTGTGTCTTAATAGGATAAGGTAAATTTTATTGATTCCAAGGGGAAGGTGTTGACAGTTATTCTTGAAAATTAACTGTTTGAAACAACTTCAAAAACATCAAGATGATGGGACATGAAGCTCTTTAAGTTGCTTATATCTGCTACACAACTAAATAATATTATTATGGTATTTTTAAATCCAAACTGAGTTTGTTATAGTCCACGAGTGGAGTTCAGCATGGGATGTATAAAGGTGGGAACTCTGTATTTGCAGGACTCATTATGGCCAGAGCGAGTGTCTTTTCCTGATATAATCTTTTCTGTGACACTCACTCTCTCTGTCTTCTATCTACTTCTCTCACCCTTTTTCAGGGCCCTCCTGGACGAGCTGGCTTTCCGGTAACTGTCTCATGACTTGCATCCTGCCTGTGTGCTGGTGCTGTAGCTACTGACACCTTTGGGCCTTTCCACTTAGAAGCTGTGTCATTGGATAAATCGGTACAAGCATGGCCAATTGCCACCAAGATTAAAAATTAGTAAAAAAACAAAAAAAAAAACATTGCCCAGCTTCTTAGAGAACAAAACACACCTGTGCTTTCAACAGAGGGACATGAAAATGTAGGTTGAATAAACAAAAATGAACAAAAAATTTATTAGATACAACTGTTAATGTATGGTCTTAACAGAACTGGCAAAATCTCTGCTTGTATCAGAACTTTAAATATGAATTCGCACACATCTCTCCCCAAATTACGGTAGCCGAGAAAGCCCAACGAAATTCAAAATAAAGAAACACACGTCTAATAGAGAAACGCGCTGCAAAGCAACAAAGCATATTATTCAAGTTCATAACGAACCTCCAGCACAATGCAAATTCATAGACGCTACACAAATTAAGAAAACACTTTCATCAAAATGACAACACATGTGAACCACATTTTACACACACACGCTGCACATTCACAGAAATGCCGCAAATACAGAAAACAACCGCAACTTCGGAAACGCGCTGCAACTAGCAACAACACAACGGAAGTGTTTCTGGGGGACACTTTGTCCGGCTGGTCACATGCTTGTAATACTGTTTTTAACGTAAACGTGCATGGTTTTAAGTTACAGTAAACAATCAGTGGCAGCTGTTTTTATGATTAACTTTTGTAGCTCTCTTAGGCTATAGTACAGCAGTTATCAATCACATTAATCCTACCATTTACCACACAGCTTCTTGATTATTGTTTTAGCAATCTGTTCAAATAGAAGATACAGTGAAACCGCTTACAGTGATCACGTCTGTCTGGGTGAAATTGACTATAAGCGGATGATCATTATAACCCATTTTTTTTCTTATGTCTCAGGCAGATGACCATCTAACTGACATGTATATTTCTTGCATGAATATAAGGTAATAAAACGGACAACGTCATTATTTACTTAATTTTGATTTCAAAATACAGTACAACCGTCTGAAACGCTTTTGAAATTACATTACTGTACAAACTAAATTACTGAACTGTGTATAATTCAAATACGTTATAATACAGTACATGAAAAAAGCTCATTGTACAGTACTGTACATGAAAATAGCTTTTTGTAGTTTCGCTGCTGCATCTCCGTGGCTCGCTTTTAGCAGTTTATCGTAAGAATTAGATGAGTCTATATTTGTCAGAGAGAAAATTACTTTCTTTTTTCCGTCATGTAGCGAGGGGGCACAAGAGTCGGGTGAACACGGGGTTTTAACCAGGGAAACCACACTGAACAACATCACAACGTTAATGACCGGACTAACGAAAGGCACACAGACATGGACTTAAATACACTGAACTAACGAAACACAACTTGAAACAGCTGATAACATGGGGATTCCCACATGAGGTAGCGAGGGGGGCGTGGCACACAGGAGGATAGGCACGTACGAGCAGGACAAGACACGTGTTTTATGTGCCTCAGGTAGCTAGACAGAAGCAGACGGACTACAGCAAGGCAAAGTAGGGCCATCAAAGTAAAGTTAAAAAAAACATAGCTTTATTTTTTTTCTATATGTTGTCATGCTTAAATAGACACTGTAAGCAGAGTACTTGACTACTAAAAACGAATTATGTAAACACCTTTTTCTATCCCAAGCTTTTTGATACATATAAGTGGTTGGTCATTATAACCGTGATCACTATAAGCAGTTTCCATTGTAACTTTTCGCCATTGGCTCCATTGAAAAGTACGCCCGGACAAAGTGTCCTCCAGAAACACTTCCGTTGTGTTGTGTTGTTGCAGCGCGTTTCCGAAGTTGCCGTTGCTTTCCGTATTTGCGGAGCGTCTGTGACTGCGCGGCGCGTGTGTAAAATTTGGTTCGCCTGTGTTGTCATTTTGGTGAAAGTGTTTTCTTAATTTGTGTGGCGTCTATGAATTTGCAGTGTGTTTGGAGGTTCGTTATGAACTTGAATAATATGCGTTGTTGCTATTTAGACGTGCGTTTCTTTTTTTTGAATTTCGTTGGGCTTTCTCGGCCACCGTACCAAATTACCCATGACATGCATGATCTCCAATTCACCTGGTGTACACAGCAAACTAGTTGTCTCATGGTAACTTCATAGTTCCCTCTGTTGTTAACCAGGATGTTTCCTCTGCTCCCAGTCACTGCATTTGTCGATTTCTAATGTTACTAACCTGGGGAAGAAGGGTGTGGCCGTGGAGGATGACCTTGTCCTCCTGGAGGTATACAGTACTTGCATCTGCTGCTGGCAGAGTGCCACAGAAAAACACTGGGACAGTTCCTGCAAAACTGATAATGAGACTTTGTGGCTCGACAAACTCACAGACACGTTAGGTGTTTCTTCTTTCAGGCTTTCATCTAATTATTGCATGGCATTTTACTGGCCTCTTTATTAATGACCTTGGTTTTGGGAATCTGTAAGGGGGCCACTTTAGCAGGCTGGGTCACCCCCTACCCAGTGTGGTGGTTTGCACTGCTGAATTGAAAACCTGCATAGGAAAATTGAGATAGCTGGCTGGAATCGGTCTTTACATTTTGGCATCCTGTGATCGTGATTGAATGGTATTGCAAGTGCAGCTGACAATATGGAAAAGTAAAGGCACTTAAGCTGGTCATAGCTATGTGAAAGACACAACCTCTGCTGAGACTTTCATGTTAGTTGTGAGTCAGCACCTTGGACAGGGCCTCTGAGTGTGAATCTCTGGAGACCTGTGTCATAAGTAACTGAATGCTATCATGAAGGTTAGCTTGAGGAGTGCTGAGAGGCTTAATTCCTATATTTAATCTCATGCTGAGAATATCAGCGATGTTCATACCTCACCAGCTTGTCACTACTTTGTCTCTGTAAATACGCCTTGTGATCACTGAACCTGTGGTAGATTCAGCGCTGCTATAATTCTCATGGCTGAGTTTGTTCAGCCAGAACCCCCATTCCACTGAGGAGATCACACACCCCCTCCTGCAATGGCAAAGTTGCAGTGACCCATTTCCTGCAGAAGTAAGCCACCCGTCTACGGGTCCTTGAGCAAGGCCCTCAACCCCCAGCTGTCTGGGCGCTACCATGAGTGGCTGCTCTTTGTGGACAGCTTGCTTACAAAGAGCAAGTTGAGAGAGGTGTAAAGACAATTTCCCCATGAGGATTAATAAAGAGATGATTATTATTATTATTATTATTATTATTATTATTATTATTATTATTATTATTATTATCAATCACTGGCCATTCTCCGGGCTCTGGCATAGCAGGCCCTGGGGAGATATTTTGTGAGATACACCCTTAAAGCCTGGGACAGAGCACCTCCACACAACAATTATACTCTAACATAGTGTATCTGGAGGTATGATGTAGTTTTGCGTTAGGAGAGGGACCATGGGTAGAATTTTATTCCCATCCCTGATGCTTCCATGTAGAAGTCAGTGCGTCTCAGTTAGATTCCATCAATGAGGTCCTTTGTACCAGTAGCAGTAAGGTCTTTACGCTTCTCAGCATGTCTGCATTGGTATTGCTCGGCCGATCACAAGGAATGCCTGAACTTCTGTAATGGGTGTTTTTAAGTGTTAGCTTGAACTAACTTTACCAACTTTGTCTGGAGCATCATCTGTGCCTATAGTAATGATGAGTAAATTAGATTGAATAGGGATGGGCTGGGGGGCGGGTCTGTTTTGGCTGGGGATACCACAAAAACAGTGCTATTTGTGTTTGTAAAGTTAAACTGTGGGTATGGCCCTAGTCTGATAGCTACCTTCTCCCAGAACTCTCATTCACCCTCTCCTCTTGACTTTACATTGACCATTAGGGGGACAAAGGATCAATGGGAATACCTGGAAGACTGGTGAGTTATCTGAGAATGTGCACCGTAGTGTGCTGTCAGGACCCTTGATGGCGGGGTATCATCCCCAGCATCAGCATGTTGTGAGTCTCATTATCCGGAAGGGTTTCACACTCAGGAGGCTCTTCAGAAGCTGAAACATGAACAAAATATCACTGCCAGTCAATCATTCATGGATAATAATGTTCAGATTATTATTTGTAAGGTTTGTTGTATTATGTTTAGGCTCAATGAGATCCATTACATTTTTTAGATTTTTTTGTTGTCACAGTGGAATTTTCCTTTGGCTCTTGGTTCCTGTCATTCTCTCATAATTTCTTACTCTTGTAATTATGTTTTATTATCTCTCAGCTGCAGTCCATTATGCACTTCCTTCCCAGTTTGAGAGAAGACTCACACTAACACTTTCAAGCTCATGTCTGTGCGAGGGTGTGTTATACCAGTAATGTCAGGAATCATACTCTCTACATTCATACCTCCTTTGACACATGTAACTTTATCAGACAATTGAATACTAACCATTACTGTGTCATACTGACCCAAGTTTTCAATAAAGAGGATTAAACAAGAGAGAGGATTTATACTTTGGATAGTTTTCATCATTGAGATCTTAACCAACAAGCTGTGAAGATTGAACACATAGTGAGACAGACCAGTCTGCCTGCAGATGCTACAATTCAGTCTGATATTATTTACCTGACATTTATTTATTGTTTGTTTTTTCTTTTACAGATTTAATTTGACAGATTTAATTTTTTTTTTAAAACAAATCCAGTTTTTTGCATAGTGGTGTTATATGTCCAATCCCACCTAGGTTTCTTGGACAGTCATGATGCTCTGATTTATTAGCTGTGTTCTGTGAAAATATCATCCTGTATTTGAGGTGTCACATGGGAGTATGGCAGCTGTGTTACCCCCAGCTGACTCTAATCAGTAAGCCACGGCTCATGCCCTGCCCACTCTCGTCAGCTGATTGTCTCTTCCCACTCTCCCTCAGAGATTACCAATCAATGTCCTGCCCGTTTCGCCCGCCCACCTGCCCCGCTCATGGAGCATGCCCAGTCCCTCTGGCCGTCCTTGTCTCACCCCATTCCTCTCTCTGTGTCTCTCTCCCTCACGCTTTGCATGTGACTGTGTCTGCTGTGACTGACCAGGGGTTAAAGGGCGTCACTGGGGAGAAGGTAAGTCTTGCATTTAGAGGCAAAAAAATGGGCCTGTGTGTGGGCGTGGGGGTGGGCGTGGAGTGGTTAGTCTTCTGTCCATCAAACAGGGAGACCACAGGCAAACTCACACCTGAACACCAAAATATCACCAATAGATTTTGAAGGAAACTTTTTCAAAGCATCAAGTTCCTTATTTATTTATTTGGTTATTTGTTTATTTTGGAGGTCTGAGGGTAGTTTTGAAGGGTCCATGTGATGTCATGTGTTGATTTACAGGCCATACCTGGATTAGTGTATTTTGCCTCCACTGCCAGATGTGTGGCTGGACTGGTTGGATTTATTGGGATCTCTAGTTAAAACTTATCTGATACTTATTTATATTTCGACCACTAGAGAAAGCAATTGTATCCTGCTGTTCCCTTCTATTAAACCTTTGGAATTGGCTTTGGAATTTTTTTTTCTCATGGCTTATGTTGTGGCTTGGAGGATTTGGACCACCGAAAAGAGAAGTTGAACCAGCCGAGAAACATTTATTGCTATCATTATGCTTTAAGAGGAATTAGTTTAATTTATGAGAAAAGATCTTGACGTTGCACCAGTATGACACGTGATTTTGCATCGGAGGTTATAAGAAATCTGTGATGCGTGAAAGGTATCAGAAATCAACCGCTAATAGTTTTGATGGTTTTGATTTGGGCTGCAAGGATTTCTCTTTGAGATCCAGTCACATTTTTAAGGTCTTTGGCACCTAATGTTGTAACAAAATAAAACTGGCCTATATCTAATTTTCAAAACCAGCTTTTATTTATGATAAGAATTGAGAGGCACACTTAACAGAAGCATCAAGACAGGCTTTAAGCTGTCACCGGAGTACCAGAACGAGTAGGATTCAGATAGGGTGTTCTGTAAAGCCTGGCCATTTGAGCCACCAGCAGTGATGGATGGACTGTTGAAGAAGCACCTCCAGTGTGACCATGCAGCTCTTTTGGGGAGTGTGGTTTCCTTGGTAGGAAATGAGCTTCTGCTAACCCCATCTTTTGCATTTTCGTACCCTTGGATTTTTGGTCATGTTTTTTTGGGGTGTTTCTTTTTATCCCCTTACCTGCTCCTGTTACCTTATTAGGTATGGGTTTGAATTTATGAGGTTGCTCTCCCTTTCTCTCCTACACTCGTATCCCAAACTCCCCACGAGACCATCTGCTGATCTTTGATGTGTTGTGTTGGAGCGTGTGGGGTCTCTTGACTGCAAGAGTAAAGTGGAGAACTCCAATTATATTGCTCTGGCATGCAAGCAGCGAGTGTCAATGACCTGTCATTCCCTCGGCCTGGGTGCGTGATTGGTGTGATAGCAGTGGTGTGTTTTCATACTCATTAGAATTACCTGAGTTTTGATGGATTGCAGGCTGTTGATGATGGTGCGCTGATATAGAGTTTCTGGGCTGGGGCTAATGATGTGGAGCACTTGAAATTTGATATTGGCCTGTCTGGCTACTGTGTTGATTTTTGTGAGAGGTCCTGTCGAGTGGCTTCTGAAATTCATGGGCAGGCTGACCCCATGCAGACCAGCCACTTTGCACCAGGAAGGAGTCCAGTGGGCTTTCTGTGTTTACACAGCAGTGCTCTTGAGCCCCTGAGTGGTTTTGTCAGGTTCGAGTTTGGCCTTGAAACAGGACCGGTTCCAGTGTGCCTCAGGACTCAGAACATTTGTCTTCACCTACTCATTGCCAGAGGCCTAGGATTTGACCCAAAGCAAATCAGTAATAAGAATAATGGAATGCAGGTTATAAACTGTGAAGTAATTACTTTCTTTTGCTGTAATACAGTGAAGGAAATGCATCTACACTGGTCTTCTCAGTGATTGCATATACTGTATAAGTGGTTCCTCTTGTAGGCAGTGGGTTGGTCAGTGTTGTGCTCTCTCGTGTTCTCACCATCGTTTCCTTGTCTTCAGGGGGCACCAGGAGAACCAGGCTTGTCCATCATTGGCCCACGAGGACCCCCTGTAAGTGTGTCTGCCTACTGAATGTCTAACTTTATCCCTGTTGTTTTATTTATTTTCTGGATCGAAAGTGGTTGGTATCTCTTTACCAATAGAACAAAATCCAGTCACAGTTCTATTGTGTAAGTTAAGAGGCTAAGCCACTGAAGGCACAATGTGACATTTGTGTTTTTTCTGACAGCAGCTGACGGTGTTAGCAGTGTCAGCCTGGGTTATTTTGACTGACTCATTGAGCACCAACAGACGTAAATTCAGCAGCTCCTTGAGTCTCTGGTTACTCATTAAACCACTTCGCCCTCGGCTGCTCAGTTACTTCGCAGTGGCCCCTGTAGCACAGAGCTCTCCAATCCAAAATCTAATGCTGACTTCCTGCATTAGTCATGGTGTGTGTCCTGGTCATCATAGCTACCATGCCACATCCTCTTCTCATCTGGAAGAGCAGGTCGAACTTGAGTCATTCAGTGTGACTTTTTATTTCAAGTGGAAATGTGTGACCGAAGACCACACTGGTTTTCTTTTTTTCTTCTGCCTGACGAACAAGGGATAGCTCCCCTTCACCACCCTCACCACCTCCCCCCACAAGTGCAATTTCCTTTCTGATTTCCCCATGAAGAATTGGTTATGTTTGGTTTCGGGGGTCTTTTTGCATGGTGGTTTTTCTGGTGGCAGAGGTTACCTCGTGACAGCTGCTGTGACCTGCTAGAGCTTACCTGACATCTGTTTTTCAGATCGGTGATTCTGTAGCCCCCCCCTCCTTAATAAGGCTTAGCTAATAGGTCCCAGACCTGGGGGAGGATGCAGCGCCCTGTTTCAGGATGATATGTTGAAAAGCAGGGGCTCCTTCTAGGTGATTTCTTGTGTCAGATAAATGTGACTGCTGGCTTCATGTTGACCCCACAGAGCCTGTTGGTGGGAGGTTTGGGAAGCTTTGGTAGCAGAGAGGTGCAGAAGGACTAATGGAAAGCATCACCTGGCTTCATGTGTTGAGTCAGATGCACAGAGCCTTTTAATGGTTTAATGGTGTCCTCTGTGTCATGTGTCGAGGGCATTCTAAGGGGCCTCTCCTTTGTTTGGATCCATAGCAAGCAAACAAAAAAACGATTTTAATGTAGTTGAGAGTATTTTCAACCAGTGTTGAAAATGTTTCATTTTTTTTCTTATTGTTTTTCTATCGAGTGTTGAGTGTTAATTATGACAGCTGTAGACAGGGAATATGATTGTTGTTGCATTACTTCCACCTATTTCAGTAAATCATAACTTCATACACTATATGCACAAAAGTATTGGGACACCTGGCCATTATACCCACAAGAACTTTTATGACATCCCATTCTAAATCCATAGGCATCAGTATGGAGTTGGTTCCCCCTTTGTAGCTACTGTATAATAGCTGCCACTCTTCTGGGAAGGCTTTCCACGAGATATTGGAGTCTGTCTGTGGGAATTTTTGCTATTCATCCAGAAGAGCATTCGTGAGGTCAGGCGCTGATGTTAGACATGAAGGTTTGGCTCGCACTCTTAATTCTCGTTCATCCCAAAGGTGTTCCATGAGGTTGAGGTCAGGGCTCTGTATGGGCCAGTCAAGTTCTTCCACACCAACTTCACCATGTCTTTATAGACCTTGCTTTGTGCACCGAGGAACAGTCATGCTGGATCAGAAAAGGGCCTTCCCCAAACTTTTCCCACAAAGTTGGAAGCATCAAATTGTCTAAATTTTCTTGGTATGCTGAAGTTTTCCCTACACTGGAACTACGAGGCCCAACCCCTGAAAAACTGCTTCATACCATTATATCTCCTCCACCAAACTTTACAGTTGGCACAATGCAGTCAGGCAAATAATTTTCTCTTGGCATCTGTCAAACCAAGACCCTTCCATCAGACTACCAGACAGAGAAGCATGATTTTTCACTCCGGCAGAAGAAATTTCCACTGCTCCACAGTCCAGTGATGTCGTGTTTTACACCACTCCATCTGACGCTTAGTAATGCGCTAAGTGTCTGTTGTTCCTAAATGCTTCCACTTTTCAATAAAACCAATTACAGTTGACCATGAAATATCTAGCAGAGAAGAAATTACGTGATCTGACTTATTGAAAAGGTGGCATCTTATGACACTACCAGGCTTGAAATCACTGAGCTCTTCAGAACGACTCATTCTTTCACAAATGTTTGTAAACCTGACTGCATGGCTAGGTGCTTGATTTATATACCTGTGACAATGGGTTTGAATGAAACACCTGAGTTCAATGATTAAGTGGAGTATCCTGATACTTTTGTCTATATAGTGTATTTGTGTCAGACCGTCTAGTCTTGCCCAAAGCAGGCCAATGACGGTCACATCACTAATTGACCCTCTCATGTTTTGTAACGCGCAGCCCAAAGCCTGACACCTATGCTCTCTCTCCCCTCTTCAGGGACAGCCCGGAAGCAGAGGTTTTCCAGGATTCCCTGTAAGTTTCTCAACATTATAAACAGTGTCACTGTAAAATCTCTTAGAATAACAATTCCTCCTACCCTGCTACCATGCCTTCTTTCATGTCCTTCCCATTCCGTTGTTCTTGATCAGTTGGCACCATTTCCTGCTTATGCATGTAACCCTGGTCATGTGTCTCTCATACAGGTCTTGAGGTTTTACTTTTTATGTGCCAGCTATACATGTGGTATTCAGACACATCCAGCGGCTTTCATGATGCACCTTGTTACCAGACAGTTACCAGTGCAATCAGCAGATATCTCATTTCTCCATTGTTTTTTCCTTTCAGGGTCCAATTGGGTTAGACGGAAAACCAGTAAGTCCTGAGCCATGACAATTACTGGATAACTGAAAAATTTAGGGTTTTAGAACTGAACACTTTGCCATAAGTCAGTGAGCCGTAAGTGAGTCATTTCAATGAGGGTGATTAGTGTAATTATTGTAAGTTTAATAATAATGATATTATTACAATTATTACTGAAGGCTAAGAAGGTTATTGGGGGTGATAATAAACATTAACTTAAAAGACGGCTTGTTTATTATCCATAGTGGTGTTAGTGATTGCTGAAATTATCCAGTGCTTGACTTTACATATGTCATGTATTACTTTCTTTGCAGGGACAAAGTGGTATGAAAGGAGATGTGGTAAGAAAAATAATATTTGTATTGCAAATCTTTTTTGTAATGACTTGACACCCACTGTTCTCAACCAATGCATTCATTCATTTACAACTGTTTCTTTACATCTCACCATCATGCGTCGCTTTTGTGTCAAGCAGACACGATGGAAACAGCTGTAAATGCCCAAATCACTCTCTGCAGATACACTGTGTGTGTCTCTACATTTTGTTTGGGTCACTCAGCAGCAGCTATTTTGTTTTTTTCATTGATAAAAATGATCCTTCTGAACTTGTATTTTAATGAAAGGAGAGTATTTTTCTGGAGTTAAAACTGGAATGTAAGATCTCAGAAGGAAGCAGTGTTCCTAATAATACAGGCAGGTTTGATCCTCTCACTGAAGCAGAACTGCTTTGCTGGCTGTCACACCTTTAATGTCACTGTCTCAGTCACCCACTCCCCTTCCTTGATCTCTGCCCAAATCACTGTCTGGCTTCTGAATGAAAACCTCCTTCCTTAAATTGAACAGTTTCATGGTCAGTGTGCAGTGTCTGTTTTATCTGGTCATGTTCAGAAAGCTGGTCCAATTTTACTGTCTCCCTGGGTGAATATATATAATTGATCTTGGTTCGTTTTCATGCTGATAACCCCCCCCCCCCCCATTCATCAGCAGTCTGGATTTTATCAGTTCAGCTGCCGATTTTAGAACCTCTGTGTGTCTTTTTCTAAACACCATGTTCTTTGTTTGACTGCTCCAAGCTGTCAGGCAGGCATGTTTTATAAGCATTTTGCTTTAAAGCACATGGCCGGGCATCACTGGCCCCATGCCGTGTACAGAAGCCCACATGAAGGCCGTCTGGGCCATGAATAATTTGGTAGTCCCGGCTGAAACGGGTCTGACGTGGCTCCAGTATTGTTTGGTGGAGATTAATGTGTATTTAATGAGCCACATTCCCTTTTTTTCCAACTTAAATAAACTACTTAGATGCCTTAAGAACGCTTAAGCAAGAGAACAAGGTGATTGTATGTTTTCTGGAGCTAAAATCTTATTTTTACGCACATAGAGAACATCTAAATCTAAACCGGGCATTTCAGATGAAGATAAAGAAAGTTTAGTTTGTTTCAATATTAATTACAGGCCCTGCCAAATAAGAAAAGGCTCTTTCATAAAATTCTTTGCGATTAGTGTTAAAATGCAGTGGTTGCTCAGGGAGTGGGAATAAAAGTTCAGGGTCAGTTTGTTTGCACTGTGATGATGGCGGGACATTTCAGTCACATGTTTGTTTTCTTCATTGTTTTTAAGGGTCCTCGAGGTCCCAAAGGCATGCCAGTGAGTGATGCTTTACTGTCCTGTCTATGGCATTCACAGTTTCACATCCTCTGTGTTTTCCTGCCTGTTTAATCGGCGTATGTGTTTTGTATTGTAGGGTGAACCAGGCCCCAAGGGAGAAAAGGTGAGGTCACAGTATTTAACAGTTTATTACCTGGTCTTTTCATGAACCACTGAAATGACTCTTATATTGATTCCCGTGGGGAAAGTATCTTTTTGCTTATCCCATCTTTTTCTCCATGACACATACACAGGTGAGTGCAAGCTTGGCAGTGTCCTGTCTCTGGCATTCAAAATTTTCTTAAATCACTGTGTGGCTCAGTGGGCTAAGCTTTTTTGTTGCCAATTCAAGCTTGGCTTTCACAGAATAGTCGCATGTCCTTGGGCCCTTGGGCAAGGCCCTTAACCCCCAGCTCCATAGGGGTGGCTGCCCTTCACTGCCAAGCTTGCGCTCGCCTACATATGTGCCATGGAGAGTAAGATGAGGTTGGCAAAAAAGAGAATTTACCTATGGGGATCAATAAAAGTTTCATTCTGATTAAAATGGAAGAACACAACTCGCACCTTAAGAACATAAGAACTATACAAACGAGAGGAGGCCATTCGGCCCATCGAGCTCGCTTGGGGAGAACTTAACTAATAGCTCAGAGTTGTTAAAATC